GGTACCGGAGAAAAACAAACAAAACAAAAAAAAAAGACTATTAGTAAATTCCTCATTTTAATTTTATGAGCTTTATTATATTTAGCAATGAGTGCTTAACAGGAAAAAATCGCAAAAGTAAAGTTTTGCATTTTTAATATTTATTGGGTATTTATAAAAAAAGCATCAAAATTTTCAACATTGACTGGTTTTTGGTGTACAAAGTCTAAAAGACAACAACAGAAATAAATTCCTATATAACTACAATGAAAATACCAATAACACTTTACAAAAACATACTCTTACTGCAATTATCACAGCTAAGGCAGTCTGCACCCATGACAACGGCATGTCCCATACACATGCATGGCTTACAGTGACAGCACACGTGTTTTGCTTTCCTTGTCTTTCTATAGGACACACTTGACATCTCAGTGGCCTTGCTGTTTTGTCAGAACATTCTTATTGTATTATGCAATGTGTAGTTAACATGAACATAAAACATCAACAAAATAAAGTATCAAACTCTTAATATAGTGCAAATTTAAAATAAACATCGCATTTTCACATCAGCTACACACTTGCTTATAAAACCTGAGATGACATCAGAATAAATTTCTGTATGAACTACAGTGAAAATACCAACAGCACCCTACAAAAATCAGTCTTTACTTCAATTATCACACCTAAATAATAGTAAAATAGGATGTCAATAAAACAAAATGTCAAATGTATAATGAGTGCTTAAAATAGACGTCAACATTTTCACATCAGCTGTGTACTTGTTTACAAAACCTAAGAGATGACATCAGAAATAAAAACCTATGTAAACTGCAATGTAAATGCAAATAAAAATATACCACAGAAATATTCTTTGGGGCTAGGTGTGGTGGTACACGGCTGTGATTTCAGCACTCAGGAGGTTGAGGCAGGAGGATTGTTGCAATTTCGAGACCAGCCTGGGCTACAAAGTGAGCTCAAGGTCAGCCTGAGCTACATCGTGAGACCCTGTCTCAAAAGACAAAAAAAAAAAAAGAAAGAAAAGAAAAGAAATATTCTTTGTTTCTGGGCGTAGTGGCGCCTGCCTGTAATCCCAGCACTTGGAAGGCTGAGGCAGGAGGATCGTGAGTTCAAGGCCAGCCTGGGCCACATAGTGAGTTCAAGGCCAGCCTAAACTATATAGTGAGACCCTGCCTCAAAAAATAATATTAATAATAACCTTTGCCTCACCTGTCACACCCAAAGCAGTTTTCACATGTGACAACTGCATATTCCGTACACAAGCATCCCTTACACTGATAGCACGTGCGTTTTATTTTCCTGGTCTTTCTTGCAGGGCACAGCTGACATCTCTTTGGTTTTCCTGTTGTCGTAGTAGGTCTTTAGGATGCTGCGCTCACCTGTTCACCTGTCCGCTCACCAGCGTGCACCACAATTTTTTCCCGTAGTTCCCTGGGCAGAAACATTTTGTTCTCCTTCTGCTGTGAATGACCTCTTGTGAGCTGCAGTCCCAGTCCTCTAAGAAAACTTCTCCATGGTATTTTGCACCTGTGATTTCTTTGTAAACTATTTATGCCTCGCAAGCTTAGGATGAACCGCTGGCCGATGCTCTGTGTTTCGAATGACATGATAGTGATACAGGGGAAAGAAACTCCCAACCTGAGGGATATCTGGAACGAGTTCGTGTTCTCTAAAATTGAAGAATGGATTTTAGGCATAATGGTGGTTAAGAGTAGAATATATTTATTGAGGGAAAGAAAGCTTCTGTCCAAGAAGGACAGAAGGGGACCTGAGCGGGTTGCCAAGGACCCTATCTTTCCTAGGGATTTTATAGAGCAAAACCATGAGGTGAGGCGGGTTCAAGGTGGGAGGGGATGGGAAACGACAACCTGGGCATGAGGCGGGACAAAACCCTGGTCAGCCAGTAAGAATTGTTCAGGTAAAATTGACTAAATCGGGATCAAATGGGGAAGCAAGTCACGTAGCCAGCAGCCATGAATACAGATCAGGGGCCTTTTCTGTAGGGGGTTGGGTTAGTGACTCTTCCTGGCTTTTTTAAGGTGACTGCTACCTATTTAGAATATCAATCCCTGAGGCCCCTCCCTAGGGAAGTGTGTGGGTGCATTTGTTTTATCTTTGTCTTGAGGTCTGGCCTGCAGCAAGTAGTCTCCACTGACAAGGTATCTCGTCTTCTGTATTGGCTCCTTCGAGGGCCTGGCCCTGTCTGACTGCCTATAATATTTCTAACTCAGCTGCCTGTAACAATTCATCAACAACATCTACTCCACTCTGGTTTTGTTGTATAAAGTTTCCATCTCAGGTGAAGGGAACCTCGTTGGTCTCTCATTGTACCCCAGAGACAAGCAGCGGTGGGTATGAGAAAAATAAAAACGAGAGACAAGAGCTGGCTCAGGTGGAGTTACCTCTTACCTGGTGGGCAAGAGGACTGATTGCAACAGTAGGGGCGTTTATTTCACACTCTTGCAAAGTTAGTATCAGGAGAGGTAACATTCCCTAGAGACTAAAGACTGTAATTGTCCAGGCAGGGTGCTTTTTTCAATAATGATTGCTTGAGCCACTCCGGCTCTGTCCTGCCCTCACACACGACCAACCTCCAGCTCCAGCGGCTCCCAACTCCCAGGCTTCCGTTTTGTTGAGGTTTCCCTATCGATAGTTCCATCAGGGTGCAATGCTGACCTCAGCAGTACCAGTTTGATTTCTTTGCCTTATACGAGGCTAGTATAAACCTCTCTGAAATCCAAAGCTTGTTCCATACAATTCTCTGTTTGGAAATTGCAACACTTCATTTGGAATTTGTGCTTTGTTCCTGTGCTGGTCTACCTGTGCTCTGTTAGCAAGTGTAACATCAATTGGAAGCTGGTAAACCAGCTGTCCGACGTCACATTCCAATTACTTTAGGAGATGGGAGCAATAGGTCTCTTCACAACATCGTTCAGTTTATCACTATGTGAATAAGGACCTGATGGCTGAGGATAAATGTCTAAACCAGCTAGTGAGTTGTCATGATAAATCCATGTTTGAATATGGCTACTGGTGCACAGAGAATGTTTTACCTGCATTTCAGCCTTTGTGTATTTCACAGCGTCTTGCCGCATTTCATCGGATACAGTTTCCAACACTAATGGCAGTGCTGGCGTTCTGTCCAATACCTTCCACCCCTGCCAAGACCCTCGCTATATTTTTGGACCTAGTTCTACCTAGGAGTATTCCATCACTGCATGGCCATTTTGCAAATGTTGAGTAGTTAAATGTGTCCTCACATTGCTGTTTTCTTTGTCATCCGAATGAAGGAGGTCGCATTCCCTGTGTTTGTGTCAATCAATTCTTTTTTTGTTTGTTTGGTTTTTTTTTTTTTTGTTTTTTTTTCTGGTACCAGGAATCGAACTCACAACCTTGCACTTGCCAGGCAGGTGCTGTGCCACTGAGCTAAATCCCCAGCCCCATATATCAATCAATTCTTGCTCCATTTTACTGTCAGAGGAACTCTGGCTCACTCTGGTCAGTGTCAAAGTCGTCATCGTCATCATCATCATCTTTATTATTACTGCATACCCACACCGCTCTTCTGTGATGAAAGCATGTATTTTACTATAATGGATCATCTTCATCATCCATGCATGAGTAATCTGATGATTCACTTTTGACCTCCTCCAAAACTTGCAAATCTGGTTTTTCATGTGCCATTGTATTGAATTTAGCTGCTTGTACCAGAAAAATCAAAAGAGAACTTTAAAAAAAAAAAACTAACCCTAACCAGGCATGGTGGCACGTGGCTGTAATCCCAGTACTCGGGAGGCTGAAGCAGGAGAATTGCTGCAAGTTTGAGGCCCACCTGGGCTACAAAGTGAGTCCAAGCCCAATCTGGACTGCATAGCAAAACCCTGTCTCAAAAAGACAAAAAAATAAATAAATAAAACAACCCTAGAGTAGAGTGCTGTGGGTGTATTGTACTCTCTGTGATGTTCAGGTAAACATACGCAAAAACTGTTCTTTGCACACATGCACACACCTTACCTTTTGTTGTGCCAGGTGGGTAAACACACAGCTTGCTTCTATATCCCTCAGGATCTCTGTGCTGAGATGCATGGCCAGCTATTATTATGTTAAAGTACAAAATTTACAGTAGAAAAGTAAGGGGTATGTTTGTGGGACCCTCTATTGTGCTCTGTGGGTTTTTAATCATGGGAGCTTCTCCCTGAAGGTCCCCGCAGTCTTCCACCTCCGAATATTACAGTTGGATTAAGCTTCCACCTCCTGTATGCCTCCCAACAAAGAGATGCTCAAACCATATCCAGCAAAAGCCTGAAACAGTCACCACAGTGCCCGGCAAAGAGCAAATGCCCTGTCGATGTCAGCTCTTAGGATTAGTCCTCTAAAAGAGATAGCAAATGTTCATGGGACAGGTGGAACACTCCTGATCACAGAATCACGTTCACAACCTAGTGGGGAGAGTTAAAAAAGTGCATCACACGAACAGCAGGCGGCTAGGAGTCTACCTCTGCGAGGGCACACAAATGCACCTGCAAGCATCCCTCGCTATCCCTGCCCCTCCGGTCTCTACTGTCCTTCTCTGTTTCCCTGGGGCTCACCTGGACAACTCCAGCTGCACGGAAAAGCCGCTCTACCAGCATTCCAGCACAGAGGAGCTTCTGAAGCACTCTGGGCCCCAGGGAGCAGTGTACGTTGCACGTCCCACAGTGAGCTATCTAAATGTCCCTTCTCCCCATCCTACAATGCCTGTGTAGGGAAGTTCACACTTTCTCTCTGTGGGTTTGACTGTCTTTCCATTACCGGGGATTGAACCCAAGGAGGCTCCACCATTGAGCTATATCTCCAGCCCTTTTAAAAATGTTGCACAGTCTTGCTAAGTTGTCCAAGGTGAGCTTGAACATGTGATTCTCCTGCTTCAGCTTCCCTAAATGCTAGATTTACAGGCCTGTACCACCACACTAGACTTACAGGTTTGATAGTTGGTCCTGATGAAATAAACTGACAACAGATTAACAGAACATATTTATTCTAGCATAGTTTGACATGACCACAGAACTCCAGGTTGAAGACGCAGAGACCCAGTGTGAAGGACCCACGTCATGCTTAGGTTTGATGAAGCCTGGGTTGCCCTGTGCAAATGTGATTGGATAAAAGAGGGTGTGAGTGAATGGAGGTAGATGGCGTGGGAAACCCAGCGTTTCTGGCCCCTCAGTTACAGCATGTCTTCTTATGAGTATGAGGCAGGAATGTCTTCATGGCCAGTTTCCACACAGACAGGCAGGGGAAGCTGGAGTAACAGCCTCAGGGTTTATGACTGGCGTGGGGAGAAAAGAGCTCTGGTTCTGTGACTCACCTGGGGGAAGAGGCTTTCTAGCTCACTCGGTTGCCTGGGGGAGAAGGACAGGGGGCCGCAGGGCAGGAGACTGGAAGTGTGGTGACGATCAACTGTGTCAACTTGAGCAGCTTAGAAAGCAGCTTAACTAAATCAGCTCAACCACGCTTCCCCCGAGGCTCCTCACCCGGGTGGTATAAAGGGGAAGTGAGGAAGAGGGAGCTGCTTGTGTTCTTCAGAGGAGCTCCAGCCTTTGCCTTCAGCTCGGACCTCAGCTCCTGGCTTCCAGGGCAGGCTGTTCAGCTTTCCCTCACAGACCCATCGGCCTCCTGATTCGGACTTGCGGGGGACAACGTGGTGAGCTCCAGGCCTCGGACTGACACCGTCGGTCTCCAGTACGCAGACACCCTCTGCACGCTTCTTATCCGACTCTGTGGGCGACCATCGTAAGCCAATCCTGTAGCTTCTTACACATTTCTATTTCTTGTGTTATATCCGTTTCTCCTGTGAAACACTGATACACATTTGGGTACCAGGAGTGGCTCTAAAGAAACAGAATTATAATGAGGAAATTCTTTAATGGCTTTAGGTGTTCCTCGAGTTGGCTCTCTAATTTGATGAATGCTAAAGACACCATGGTCTCTCCTTCTGGTTCTGTGGAGGAATACTGGTAATCCTCGGCCCAAACTGTTTAAACTAATATACTATGTAGATCCATTTGATTCCCCTAATTCACCACTTGTGAGATGTAAGGAATATAGTGACTCTGTACATGAAAGTTTTGAATTTTTTGTTTTTGTTTGTCTTTTTGTCTTTTTTTTTTTTTTTTTTTCCCGGTACTGGGAATCAAACCCACAACCTTGCGCTTGCCAAGCAGGCGCTGTGCCACTGAGCTAAATCCCCTAGCCCTTTGTTTGTCTTTGAGACAGGGTCTCACTGTGTAGTTCAGGCTGGCCCTGAGCTCATTTTGTAGCACAGGCTGGTCTCGAACTCTCAATGATCCTCCTGCCTCAGCCTCCCGAGTGCTGGGGTTACAGGCATGTGCCACTATACCCGGCTAAATTTTGAATTTCTTTGGCACACTAGGAAGCGTGATGCTGGCTAGTTGTTCTTAGCATCCCTGGAAAAAGTACTGAGGGAAAACAATGAGCTCAAAACTTCCATAGGAAATCTGAAGGCTCCTGGTTGTGAGGACACACATTAATAAGGGAAAACAAGGAGCTCAAAGATTCACATTCCCAGCTCCAGACACACATAACAGATTTAAAAGTTTCTGTGTGTCCTGAAAGAAAATTTCCTCCTTTTTAGCCACAAGGCTGAGATTGTTGAGACTGCAGAAACCTAAACACAGTCCCTCGTGATTCAACCGGCTGAACTGCAACGTAAGTCTAATGCTCAGCCCTGAAGGGTGTCTGAAGCAAAGCTGAGGGCACTGACGGGAAAGAATGGGACCCCATGCCCTGGGATGGAGACGCGGAAAGATCCTGAGGAGGCTGAGGATACTGAGTTCCTAGATGCTAATGAGATTATTTTACCTGAAGAGGAGATTTCCCCACCCCCTGTAGCAGAGGCATTCCCACCTCTACCCCTGCCGTGTTGGCCTCTTCTAGTTTGCCTGGGCAAACCAGCAGGGCAACACTGACGCTCCTCAGGACCCACCCTCACCACCCCTTTCTGCCTCTAGGCCCACAACCAGGCTCAAATCGCAGAAGGCTCCTAAGGGTGAGGTAGACAGTGTGACCCAGGAGGAGGTCCGCTGTGCTCCCGAAGAACTTCTCGAGTTTTCTAACTCTTGTAATCAGAGGCCTAACGAGCAAGTGTGGGAATGGACTGTCTGAGCGTGGGATAAAGGTGGCAAAAACATACACCTGGGTCAGGCAGAGTTTGTTGATACGGGCCCATTAAAAGCAGGGACTGTGAACTTAACCTCACAGAGTAAAGAAAGGTGTTAATAGTGTATTTGGCTGGTTGGCACAAGTACATCAAAAGGCGGCCCACTGTGAATGAGCCAGAGATGCCTGATATTCATGGCTTACCGTTGAGGAGGGGACTCAGAGGCTCAGGGAAACGGGAATGCTGGAGCGGATCTGTCACGTTAAACCTCATCTTCCACAGTGGAATAACCCTTCGCTAACACCTTGAGAAACAGAAGGGCCCTGTCATTGCTCTTCTCTGTATGCCAGACCTTAGGGTGGGGACCGCGATTACCCAGTTAGGAAATTTAAGGGCACTGGGCTTGATTGGGTCCTGGAGCGGCAGAGGCCAGGTGGCAACATCTAATTCCCAAAGGCAGGTCCCGCGCACTTACCACAATGGACAGCAGACGCAGAACAATGACCAGAGTAATCTGCCACACGCAGGCTGATCAGCCGCGGTGTTCCCTAGAGCGAGACAGACGGAAGCCTACTAAATTTCTTCTAGATTTAGAGAACAGAAAAAAATGAAGGGCAAATGGACAGAAACCTGCTTCAAGTCACGGTACCAGGGAATCACAGCCGCTCAGCCAGTTCCCAGGTTTCAGCCAGACCCAGAACACTTTGAGTGACAGACAGGCCAAGTCCCCTCGGGAAAGGGTGTGCCAAAAATCTACACGGTCAGCCCTCCTCCCATCCCTCCCCAGAGGGACCTGAGGCCTCTGGCCGAGCGACTGTGCGCTGGGGGAAGCGAAATGATCAGACATTTCAGGGACTACTGGACACTGGCTCTGAACTAACACGGACTCCAGAGGATCCAAAGCGTCACTGGGGCCCTCCAGTACAAGGAGGGGCCTCTGGAGGTCAGGGATCAATGGAGTTTCAGCAAAGGTCCAACTCACAGTGGGTCCAGCAAGTCCCTGAATCCATCTTGTAATCATTTCTGCTGTCTGGAATGTATAACTGGGATAGACTTGCTTAGTACTTGGCAGAATCCTCACATTGGTTCCCTGACCTGCAGTGTGAGGGCTGTTATGGTTGGGAAGGCCAAAGGGAAGGCACTGGATTTGCCTTTGCCTGCTAAAATAGTAACCAAAAGCAGTATCGCATTCCTGGAGGGACTGCAGAGACTGGGGCCACCATCAAGGACTTGAAGGATGCAGGGGTGGTGGTCCCCACACATCTCCATTTAATTCTCCCATGCGGCCTGTGCAGAAGACAGGAGGCTCTTGGAGAATGGCAGTGGATTACCGTAAGCTGAACCAAGTGGTGACTCTGATTGCAGCTGCAGTACCGGCTGTGGGTTCCTTGTTTGAGCAGATTAACACATCTCCTGGTGTTTGGTGTGCAGCTATTGGTCTGGCAAAGGCCTTCTTCTCCGTACCTGCCCATAAGGACCATCAGAAACAGTTTGTTGGTCAGCAAGACACCTTCACTGTCCCACCTCAGAGTTATACTAACTCTCCAGCCCTGTGCTACACCTTGGTCCATAGGGATCTCGATGGCCTTCCTCTCCCACAGGACATCACACTGGTCCGTTACCCTGATGATGTTATGCTGATTGGGCCTGTGAGCAGGAGGGGGCAACCACTCTGGATTTGTTAGAAAAGCTTTTGAGAGCCAGAGGACGGGAAATCAACAAAGATTCGAGGTTCTACCTCAGTGAAATTTCTAGGCCAGCGGTGTGGGGCATGTAGAGATAGTCCCTCTAAGGTAAGATAAGTTGTTGCATCTGGTTCCCCTACAACCGAAAAAGAGGCACAAGGCCTCATGGGCCTATTTGGATTTTGGAGGCAACACATTCCTCACTCAGGTGTCTTACTCCGGCCCATTTACTGAGTGACTCGGAAAGCTGCTAGTTTTGAGGGGGGCCCAGACCAGGAGCTGTAACAGGTCCAGGCTGCTCTGCAGGCTGCTCTGCCCCTGGGGCCGTCTGATCCAGCAGTCCAGATACAACATAAGAGGAGCAGAAAGGTGCCATGAACTGTCCTGCCGTGCCACCCTGCCTGGAGCCAGCCCTATATGGGCCGGAACCTCTACACTGAGCTAAGTTAATCTACACTGAGCTAAATTAATCTTTCCCCCTATAACTTTGGGGTTTTTTTTCCCCGGCAAGGCGAAAGGTAACTAAGACAGAAAGAGAGAAACTCTCCTTGGAGGCCTTCACCGCAGGAACTCAGCACCTGAGCCCCAACACCCCCTCAAGTTCTTGCCTGCCTCCCTCTCCCTCCGCCTGGGGAGTCATTCAAATCCCGCTCCTCTATGGTCACATGGTAACTAAGCAGAGCCCAGATCCTCGGAGCCTGCAATGTATAACGCCCTCCATTTATAACGCCCAAAGAGGTTTAAAGCGGCTCCTACAAGTCTTTTGGGAGGAGACGCGTACCTTCCTTGGAGAGCGTGGACTTGGACATCAGAGAAGTCTGACAAGTTCTAGCTTCATCCTTTGCTGGCTGTGTTGCTGGACAAGTTGTTATCTCTAGAAGTTTTATAATTTTTTTTTTTTTTTTTTCCCGGTACTGGGAATTGAACTCAGGACCTTGCGCTTGCCAGGCAGGCGCTGTGCCGCTGATATAAATCCCCAACCCCCAAGTTTTATGATCTGTCAAACAGGGCTAATGATACCTACTACCTACGGAGTTGTATGGAGCTAGCGTGAATTGCTTAACAAATACAATGGTTATCATTTTTATTTCTGAATAGAATTAGTGAAAATTCTAAAGTTTCACTAGGAAAGTGTCTAGAACGAGAAGACGGCAAAATGTTCACAGTAGTTACCGTTCCGCCTCTTCTTTATAGCTTTCTGTATGTATCCGTGCATTTCCTAGGCATTTTTTGAGCACATACCAAGTTCCAGGCCCCGGGTTCAGCGTCAGGAACGCAGCGACGCGAGCAGGGCACGTAGCAGAAGCCCGGCGCGGGGGTGCACGTCCGGGACCCCCGCTCTCGGGAGGCTGAGACCGCGATCTCAAGTTTGAGCCCAACCCGGGCAACTTCGCGGGTTCCGCGAGACCTCGCCTCAAAAAAAAAAGTAAGGTTTGGAGGAGATAGTAAATATTGCACAGAGCGCTGCGATTATTGTAAGTGCCCAAGTTTCACAAAGCAGAAATCAGAAACAACATTTCCGATGGAAACATCTTAAGGGTCCGCAACCGGACAGACAAACGGGCGACGGGCCGCGCGGGCGCTCACCGTTAGTCCCGCGCCAGTCCGCGCGGCAGGAGAGGTCGGCGCGGCGTCCGCGGGGCGGGGCGG